AGATATATGGATTAAGAATAATTAATCATATGAAATCATAATTAATAAAAACATGTGAGAATTATCTCCTCTGCAGACGGGAAAAAGGCTAAGGGAAATTAATTTGATCCCCAAAGTAATACAACAAATAAGTATAGCGGTATATCCTGTTAACTCATGTGCCAACACTCCTGTAAGAGTACTGCAACTAGTAATACATGTTGAGTGGAAATACATCATTAGTTTTTAACCCAAATTTTAATAGTTGTCTCATTGTTTGTACATGTGACAATGTTCAAAAATGTGCTTTGACTGCTTATTTCATGGGACGTTTTCCCAAAGTAAGCTTAAGTAGCAAAATATATACGTAAATGATTGCGTGGCAAAAGTATTTACCAAACTAAGCTTTCAGGGTAAAATGCTGTCTCGGACAGCGTTTTATGCCCTAGTTTTTTTTATAAAAAATTCAACTTAAAAACGCTGTAGACAGGTTTTACATGTTGACTTTTGTTTTTTAAATTTCGTAATTTTTGATATTAAAAAAAATAAAAAAATAAAAAAATTACACTAAAACGCTGCCTGAGGCAGCGGTTTTAGTGTATATATATATATATTTTTTTTTTAGGAAGATTTCATAAATACAAATCTCTGTAAATAGAGTTCTCTTTCATGTGGGAATGCTGGATCTCTATTGTATCCTTGCTCATTGGAGTACGATTATCAACAACTGAGTTGGTGCAAATGTGCAATCGGTATTAGTAATTAGTCGGAAGGTGTTGAAGACTCAAAATGGGTACAAATGAGAGGTGTGTTGTGCAATCGGTGTTAGTAATTAGTCAGAAGCCACTTGTTTCCACACTATGGGTCGTGTACTAGCACCTATTATCAGTCACCTTAGGTGGAGTATGTTGTAATTGATAGAGATGCTTGATATTATCCACCGGCATCTCAATGGCAACAGCTAGTATTATCAGCTAGTATTATTTGATATTATCCTAGCTTGTTATATTATCTTTTCCTAGTATCTAGCTTAATAGATAATTATTGTAGTATAGATAACTATTGTAGTTACTGCTTGTTGTATCTATAAATCTCGCTGTATACTTGTACATTAATCAATACAATTTTCTACCTTACAGTAATGGTTGTTGCTTCAATGGAGAACGTGGAGTATGTTTAACATGGAGTATAAAAAAAAAAAAAAAAAGTTAGTGAAACGCTGTCTGAGGCAGCGTTTCACTAATTTTTTTATTTTTTTTTTAAAATTAAAAATTTGGTTATTTCTCTAAAAAAATGTCAATAAGTAAAACGCTGTTCGGGACAGCGTTTTACATATTACGAAATTAAAAAAAAAGTCAAAATGTAAAACGCTGTCTCAGATAGCGTTTTACATATTAATTTTTTTTTTAAAAAAACAGGGTATAAAACGCTGTCTCGTACCCTGCAAGCTTAGTTTGGTAAATACTTTTGCCACGCAACCACTTTGCAAAATACTTTGCAAATGAAGCTTAGTTTGAGAAAACGTCCTATTTCATGCGTAATACCTGGATCATTTTCATTAAAGTAACGCATATTCTTCTAAATGAAACAAGAGTTTATCATGACATTTTATATGATTGTCATATGGGTTTAGGTTCATACTTTGGCAATTTCTACAATTATCACCTTAACGTAAATCTAATTAAACCCCACTCGATATTGAGTACTATGTAGTAACCTAGCTAGCAACTATTCGTCTATTCCAACATTGGTTGCTATTACAATTGTTAATTTTGCTAAACAAACTCAAGCATATTCGTTTAATGATTTGAAAAAAATGCTTAACGTGCAATACGGAATAGAGAATTGATTATAGCCTTTTTCTAACAACAAAATCACTCATTCTTCATGTGAACAAATAATAAAAATGAAAAGATACAAGCATAACCTATTTTCGGTATAAATAATAGAGCATTGAGTAGTCACAAAAATTGCACCAAAATGTTGATGTCTTAGCTTCCTGAAAAGCAGGGGGTTGTTTCATGGGAAAAGGGGTGTCCTTTGCTCCCGAAAATAAATGCAATTTCAAGTGGACAAAATATTTTTTTTTTCCCATATTTTCCTACAAATATTAGCGAAAATAAAATTACTATAAGCTTTTCCTTTAACATTGCAAGACAGCCTTTTCTTTTCCAAATCTTTTCCCAGTTGTTTTTCCTTACATTACAAAAGATATTATTGCTTTCTTGTTATGGGGAGATACTACTTTTTTTTGCTCTCCACGGTTTTTGTTTCTCGGTTTTCTTAATTTTTAGTTTTTCTCATTGACTTTGCGCCATATCTGCATGTAGCGATATTATAAATAACTACTCCGTAAGAATTATCACTACTATTCTCTCATATATTACATGTAGTCTTACAAAAATTTTCTGTTACTCCGTATTAACTCCACAATTTTCTGTTATTAACTCCACCCGATCAAAGATTATAAGTTAGGATAACCAATATTAGCAAATAAAAAACAACGAAGGGAGTAATATAATGCGGATTAAAAAGGACGATTAAAGAAAAAAAGGTGTATAGTGTGTGTGAGGTGATTTCTATAAAATCATGTATGTCGACTTCGTGGTAATATCCCCTCACCCGTTTTACAAGTAGAAACTTTGTCACATGGATGATGGGTATGGTCTTGTCTTATATTTTCCTTTGATAGGTGGAACTACCATTACCTAATTTCTTAAACATTTTAATTTGAATGTGATGTTTAACAGATTATTAATAGTTCTTTTTCCTATTTACTCTTACTTTATTTGAATGCTTTCGATTAATTGGTACGATAATCTTTGATATCTTGTTCGTTACAGGTTGCGATCACAATAAAGTTAGTCCCTTTCTCAATGTCACTAGAGCCAAATCAGCCGACCAACTATGATTTGGTTGGGCTAGATCTTGTAGATTTTGGGTAGAGGTAGACATTAAGCATTTCAGCTTGATAGTCTAACAATCTTTGGGCTTTTGAGTGAAGTCCAACATGACGACCCATGATCACTTTCACATAACTAACCCTATTTTGCCTTTGCCTTTGCCTTTGCCTTATATTTGACATGCTCTCCTTGTATGTTTGGAATCAATAGGTATAGCGTATAAGACATGTATCATACGAAGTACATAATTTAGCACTTAATTTTAAGGCGCGTGCACTGTTTGCCTTTCAAATTAATTTGGTACTCTATATATAATTCAAATACTACGTATTTATTTTATATTAGTCATATATTAGTTTAGCACTCAAAATTAAGGTGTGTATACGAGTTATATTTCAAATAAACCTGGTACTCTATATATAATTTAAGTGCTACATATTCATATTATAATAGTCATATTGTTAATTTAGCCCTTAATTTTAAGGTGCGTGCACTAAATTGCTTTTCAAATGAATTTGGTACTTCTGTATATAACTCAAACACTACATACTTATTTTGAAAAAAAATTGTGTAGAACGGACTCACCGTGATTCCGGATTTGAGAACCCAAATGCTCATCCAAATGTGTTGCTTCTTCATCCTCGACCTTTGGGCCGATTTGCGGTTCGAAAGCATCCATTTTTGCTTCCGTTCATCCATATTCGTATCACCGGTAGCGATTGCTGCATCATAATCACATGAGGCTCATCAAATTTAAATTTTAACGATCTTACAATCATTTTAAAGTTACTTTGTAAAATTCATATTGTAGTTTTCTTACATACTGAATAATAAAATAAAATATTTACATAGTTACGTTATTTAAATTATATAAATGGTACATTCACATTCCAAATCCAAACCAACATGACCTAAGCTAGTATAGAGTCAACCACATTTACTCGAAATGAAAAAATGATCAGGAATTCAGGGTTTGCCTAATGTTGAATTGATCCAAATGAACAATCAAATACTTCACAATTGACTTGTCTATAACCGGAACTTGAACCGCACACGGCAGTACGGCACACACTCAATTATGTTAGAGATGTTGATTAGCCCCAATTCTTGGGTCAGTCAAGGGGCTTATGATGTCATAGGAGTTGGGCTACCAAGTTGTTAAGTATACTTGGCAACGAGTGGACCCTGGGCTGCCAAGTAGGATATTGTGGCAACCTAAACATTCATAAATTCATTTTTTGATAGTAAGTTCACAAGTTCAATTTAGAGTTTAGGATAGTTCCCCCCTATTATAAAAGAGTTCACTTTTTTTTTTCTTCTTCTTCTTTCTTTCTTTCTTTCCTTTTTTTAACAAAAACTTGGAAGCTATTATTTATTTTACGTTTTATAAAAATTGGAGTAAAAGATTTCTCATACTGAAAGGAAAAGTTTAGCAAGGAACAACAATAGTGTGACCTAGAATAACGAGTATACGGAGTATAGACCGTTATTTTAATTAATAGGTACAGTAAATACTCGACTTTACTGAGTTCCTAAAAAACTAAAATGTTAAGTACTCCGTATTCAAATTTGAACATATTCCTACTTTACACGAATGTAAAGCGTACTCCGTAATAATTTTGGATTTACTCCAAACTACACCAAACCACAAACAAAACCGTTTCTTATTGGTTTGTGGTCTAAAAATTATGGCTTGGTTTGGATATTGACCAAAGCGCAGTTTACGTGCAAATTCTACAAATAAGAAACTAAATTTCACCGCAAACCCAAGTTACATCTAGCTAATTTTGTCCATCATAATACAGGTAATATGATTACATGAAGTATTAATAAGGTTTTCATGTAGCTTGCATGAAACATGATACACCCTATTAACTCAGATAATAGACAGATTTTATTCAGACTCATAGTGTTCGTTTTGAGTGCTAATGATCTTGCATAACTAAGATAAGTCATTCATTAATTAACAATGCTTAGTGTTACATCATTTTATATAACTACTCCACCAATTTAATTAGACAATTATTAATTTTTGTAGTAAAAGCAAAAGCAATCAAAGCCTTACATATATAACAAATTTCCAGCACATCCCCTGCATTTTAAAGTTGGAATATCACAAAAAACGGACTACCATTTAATTTCTTCTTAATTTTTAGGATCAAAGTAAGCAAGATATAAGACGAACTAAACCTTCATTGTTACTTCTCTGCTGCTTATACTCTATATAAATATATAAAAAGAGAACTAAGAGGGATTTCATTAGAAAGAACTCGAGATCGAGATTAAGAGAACAAATGAAGTGGCAAAAGGAGAAGCTAGATGTAATCCTGGTACCAGCAGGGCTATTCATGATGTTTGGTTACCATATCTTCTTGCTATATAGATACCTCAGGAATTCAAAGTATACCGTACTCGGCTTTCATAACCACTGCCAAAAAGCATGGGTCAAGAAGCTTATGCAGGTTAGACTACCAAACTCTTCTTACATACACTTCTTCAAGCATTTGAAATTACTAAAGGAAATGGTTTAGAAAACCAAATCTTAAGCTTGTATATGTATGTAGTCTCAACTTTCGACATATATATAAGAGGGATAAGATTCCGTAAACCTGATGTTACACTGCCTTTGACACGATGCTCCATTCGATCACTAGGGTCTAGGGATGATTCAACAAACTAAATTAATTAACCCTTTTGTTGTATGTACCACCCTAGCGTATATATACTCTCCTTCGATACATTTTGCAAGTACTTTGGTCCAATTTGACAAGAGTTAAAGGCCACAACTCTTTTCAAACACCTCAAAAATAATAATAGTGTACCATTAAACGTCACATTTATATTATATTAGACCAATGTAAGGTCACAGGTTGTTTTATTTCTTGCTGGCAATATATGGAGCATAATATAATGTTATAATCTGTTTGTCAATTTAACAAAGTTTAACCGAATTATAATGCTTGTAAAAGTGGATTGAATGCTAAATGTAGCATAATGAGGATGATGAGTTGATGACATGAACTATTTCAGATTGATGCAATGAGTAGAGGCCCGGCGTTTACAGTAATGAACAGCACAATAGTAGCAGCAAATTTCATGGCATCCACCTCTTTAACCTTAAGCTCTTTGATTAGCGCATGGATCGGAAGCTCCTCAAGCAATGAAGCAGTTGGAAGAATAATCTATGGAGATACAAGACAGCCAATCTCTTCCATAAAATACATCAGCATCCTCTTATTTTTCTTGATTGCTTTTGCGTCTTTCATCCAATCTTCAAAGTGTTATGTGCACGCCAATCTCCTCTTGAGTATGCCAAAGGCCGTTGTCCCTGAAGACTTTGTTGTCGAGGACTTAATTCACGGTTCAAATTTCTGGCAGGTTGGCTTAAGGGCGATTTACTTTGCTATAACAATGTTGATGTGGATATTCGGTCCAATTCCTATGTTTCTTTCCTCAGCTGCAATGGTGGCAGTTTTGTATGTTCTTGATGTAAATCATAAGCACTTGCATGACTTTAACGAGTCAAGCGAGAAAGGAGAGGGAAAGAAATCTGTAGTAGGGCCTTTCGAGAATCACGAAATGGCTAATGGTAGTTGTGAACTCCATGCTACTGCAATTAACACAGCAGTTCTGCCTTCTGTTGTTGCTTGTTTATAAATAAAATAAACTTTGTCCCATGTTACATTTCAATAATAGGCTACTTTAGAATAAAATGGCACATTCCAATTACTAGTTTACTACTGAACCAAAATTTAAATAGCTCATTTTTTTTTTTTTTGTATTGAAATCCAAAAAAGTCAAAGCTTGCATTACAAAAATAATTCCACCACTTCCCCTGCATTTCTAATTTGGGAATATGATTCCATAAGTTTTTTCTATATGTTTAATGAAGATTCTTCGTATAAGTTTATAAGATGTCTTACAGTTCTTTTGCTTATGATTCTGTACAAGAATATTCTAAAAGAAAGACACAGGAATTTCATAGAGAAACAGATCGTGGTCGTGGTCAAGGTTGAGAGGGCTAGAGAGAAAGAAACAGAATGAAGTGGCATAAGGAAGAGCTAGATATAATCCTGGTACCAGGAGGGGTGTTGGTGATGTTTGGGTACCATATATACTTGTTATACAGGTATCTCAGAAGATCAGAGGATACTTCTATTGGATTTGATAACCATTGTCAAAAAGTATGGGCCAAGAAACTTATGCAGGTTGGTCAATCCACTCTTTTTGTACATTCTTTTAAGCTTAACAAAATAAAAACTTTAGCTTCCATATGTAGAGTTGTCTCAACTAAATTCTATGTCAACGCGACAAATTATCTAATGGGATAAGACTACATAAATCTGATCCCTCCTTACCCTGCCTTTGGTGGGATTCTTGGCTTTATAGGCATAGATAGTGAATCCACCTTATACAATGCGGGGTTAATTGACCCTACTAATTTTTTCGAATTATGGATTTTCTCAGTTTAGAATTTGAAAACTTGGAACTGTTAGTCAGTTATGATTTTATCTCACTTAGCTTGAATCTTGTATTTGTTAGATTGATGCAATGAGTAGAGGCCCAGCATTCACAGCAATGAGCAACACAATAATATCAGTAAATTTCATGGCAACCACTTCTTTAACCTTAAGCTCATTGATTGGTGCATGGATCGGAAGCTCCTCAAGCTATGAACTAGTCGGAAGAATAATCTATGGAGATACAGGATTTCCGATTAATTCCATCAAATACATCAGCATCTTCTTGTTTTTCTTGCTTGCTTTCGCGTCTTTCATCCAATCTTCAAGGTGTTATGTGCAGGCTAACCTCCTCATAAGTATGCCAAAGGCTGAAATTCCTTTAGACTTCGTTGTTGAGGCCTTAGTTCACGGTGGAAATTTCTGGCAAGTGGGTTTAAGGGCGATTTACTTTGCTATAACAATGTTGAAGTGGATGTTCGGTCCAATTCCTATGTTTCTATCCTCGGTGGCAACGGTGGCAGTTTTGTATGTTCTTGATGTTAATAAGAAACATTTGCATGATTTTAATGAATCATGTAACAAAGAAGGGAAGAGAAAGATAGCTGTGAACCGGTCTTTTGAGCAACAGGAAATGGCAAATAGCAATTATGGACTTCAAGCAACTGCAATTACTACAGCAGTGTTGTCTGCTGCTGTTGCTTCTTGATCAAAGAAATGAAAAAAATACAGTATAATTGTATTTTAGATCCATCCCAATATATATTATGCTGCATTTTATACTCCTTATTTAGTAAGTGAAATATATTTAGGACTATATTACATGGATTTAGGATCCGATAAATCGATAATATACACGAGTACTGTATGTGTATATATTTTTGAAAAAGCCATGCCAATATTAAAGAGCTCTATAGTTGCACTCCCTCCGCCTCTTAAAGATTGTCTCATATCCTAACATTCATTTTATTATTTTTATTTTTTATTACTTATTTCTCCACTTTTATCCCATCTGCCTTGTTTTATAATTTTAAGATTCAATTAATATTTCAAAATTGGACTATTACAAAGTAACTTAATACAATACCTTTAAAAAATGATTAATTTATTACAAGTAGTATTACGGATCAATGTATCATGTATTAGCTTGCTAATTTTAGTCTCTCTTCTGCGATCCTATTGGCTAGCTGTAACAGCAAATCATCTACAGTTTAAGTGCATTCTGAGTGCTAAAAATGTTTTATCTATATGATTAGTACGTCTTTCATTAATTAATCAAGTTAACTACTCCACTCTAATTAGATCAATATTTTTTATGTATTAAAAGCAAAAGCATGCAATCATAATCTAAGCTTTCATAATACTTTTCCTGCTATTTTTTCCTACATTACCTGTCTTGAAATGGACTTTATTCATAATTGTAAAAGCAAATTAAATAAAAGACTTACTAAATTAAACCTTCATACAATCATACTGCTGATAGTTAAGTACTGCTGCTGTTTCTGTTTCTGTTTGTACTAGAAATAAAGAACACAAATTAAAGATTCACTGAAAAGATTAACATCGATTGATACGATCAAGAGAGAAGAAATGAAGTGGCGAAAGGAGATGCTAGATGTGATATTGGTACCAGCAGGGCTGTTGATGATGTTTGGATACCATATATTCCTTATATACAGATACCTCAGAAATTCGAAGTGTACTGTTGTTGGCTTTCATAATCACTGTCAAAAAATATGGGTTAAGAAACTTATGCAGGTTAGTCTATATATAAACTCTTCCAACACCTATTCAAATTTATTTTATTAAGACTAAAAAATAAATTAATAAAGTCTTAGTAATGATTTTATGCCTTGTATTTGTAGTACGATAATGATAACATACACTACTTATCTCAGGTTGATGCAATGAGTAGAGGTCCAGCTTTTACAGTAATGAACAGCACGATAGTAGCATCGAATTTCATGGCATCTACCTCTTTAACCCTGAGTTCTTTGATTGGCGCATGGATCGGAAGCTCCTCAAGCAGTGAAATAATCAAGAGAATAATCTATGGAGATGCAGGAGTACCAATCACTTCTATCAAATACATCAGCATCCTCTTGTTTTTCTTGCTTGCTTTTGCGTCTTTTGTCCAATCTTCGAGGTGTTACGTGCAGGCTAATCTCTTCTTGAGTATGCCAAAGGCAGGGGTCCCTGAAGAATTCATTGTTGAGTCCTTATATCATGGTGCAAATTTCTGGCAGGTGGGTTTGAGGGCGATTTATTTTGCTATAACAATGTTGATGTGGATATTTGGTCCGATTCCTATGTTTCTTTCCTCAGTTGCAATGGTGGCGGTTTTGTATGTTCTTGATGTTAATAAGAAGATACTGGATGAGTTTAATGAGTCAAGTGAAAAAGAAGAAGAGAGAAATAAAGCTGTGCCTAAGTGTTTTAAGCAGCAGGAAATTATGGTTGACGGTAGTTCTGAACTTCAAGCTACTGCTCTTACCACAGCGCTGATGTCTACTACTGTTGCATTCTAATTGAAATAATCGTTTCTACCTTGGCTATGCTACACCATTTGTGATAGTTGTAACTCTTTATAAAGCCAATAATTGTAAATTGTATTATGTGAGATTTTGTTATATTCTAAATTTTTTATAAGGTCAAAAATTGTAATCTGAACCAATTTTTATACATACAAAACCTGCACCTGATGAAGCTGCTATTCTGAACATAAAGTGTGATCGACATAAAAGTATGTTATACTCATACTATTGCAAACTAAATGGACAATTGTACTAATCTATGACGGGATGTATTAAGAAATTTGATCAGTATCATTATTTTCCTGAGTACTAGCACTTTCAGATGACAGATTGGGGGAACTAGAATCTTTTACGTCAGTAGCATTCTCATTGCTACCTGCAGTCTCTCCCAAAAGAGAATCGAGAGTGAGCTTTCCTGAGTAAAGGAATAAGCCAAGAGCGTTGAAGCCAAAAACAAATGTTGCTAGGTAGCACAATCCATTGATAATAGTCCTACAAATAGCAGGAGAAAAGATTCAAATTGATGCCTAGCAAGAGTTTCTGTAATACATTTAACAAACAAGCCAAGAATCGTACCTTATTGTAACAGTAATTTGACGTACCTGAAAAGCAGGGAAAGCAAAAAGATTATGGAAAACAAAACATAGAAATTTTAGCAGAGCAAGCATGAGCAAGAACTAAATTTTAATTTACAAGAAATTCGGAGAACGTATGTGTCGATGGGTCCATCACTCAGATACTTCATTAGGAATGCAAATAGGCAGAGAACTCTATATGCCTTATACAGTAATCATGGGTTGCATATCGATTTCTGAACTTATATGTATCAAGTTGCCACCAACCTGTGCTAATGTAAAGACTGGAAAGTGTGACACTAATAATTTTTTTTGACTTTGAAACTAATTTCCAAAAAGAGCAAAAACCAGTTTCATAAGCAAAGATGTTGAATATTTTGATTAAGAAACCTCATAGGACTGTCTTCAAAGGATATTCCTATTTCACTGACTATATAGCTCCTTTAAGATGGATTTCAATTATAGATATAAACAGCAGGCACAAAATATAAGGCAGATTTTAAGTTCATATTTTCAATTCGATACACAAAAGGAACATATGTAATCATGTATCAATAAAGATTGATATAAAGAAACATGGTCACATGCAACAACAGGTTGTACACAAAGGGGTTATGTCACTTATATGATATTATGGTGTTTGCAATTAATGTCCTTACCAACACACATAGTATTATTGTTTTTAAGGTATTTTCATAGCTAAAGGGAAGATTACTCTAACCATTAACTACACAACTCAAAACAAAAAAAAAGACTTCAACTTAGAGCTAGAAATTTTAGCTCTTTAAAATCAAGCTTCACATACACTCAGTGACACAAAGTCAGTACACACTACATGGAATATCTGTTTTATCTTGAACTATCCTTATCTGTCATCTGATTTAGACATGGATATGTTACTTGTAGCCCTCCAATGTAGGCCGACTGGCCGAGAATATAGTTTTTTACGACATCACAAATCTGTCTGAGTAAATCAAACTCCAACAAGGCAATAATTATTGCAGCAGCCATGTAATACAGCCATCTATGTGTGGCACTTATATCACTTTTAGAGGTACAACAACAACAACAACAACAACAACAACAACAAAGCCTTAGTCCCAAAATGGGGGTTGGCTAACATGAATCACTATTAGAGCTACAAGAAAGAAAAAAACATGGAACTTCTTTCAAGCTTATATATAGTTTGTGGCATGCAGAAGGCAAGATTTAACTTAGATTACGTTGCTTTAAGAGGGAGAAGCTAGTCCAATAGTGCAACATGTGCGGCTAAACAGGAAGGTATCACAAAGGAAATTACTGGTAAAAAAGCCAAATACTGGTAGATGATTGACCAAGTAGAGACAACCACCATAATATTTTGAGAATCAGACCAACAACTCTATCTGGGAAGAAAATAGTTCTTTTCAAACAGGAAGGGAAACCTGATGAGTAGAAACATCGATAAGCTTGGTCAAGCAGTCAACTTCTGTTGAATCATGCAGTTTCAGGTAAAGTCATGTGGTGGAATTGGCTCAGATGAGAGCGGAGCACAAGTCAAGTTTTACAATCTTTACTACCAGGGTAAAACACAAGCTCTTCCTCCGAGGAAACCATTACAAATATAAAATCTTGTGTTAATTTTTTAGTACCTTTGTAAAAAAAATTCAGACATAGGCACACCAAATATAACAGTGTTACAGTAAGCAAAACCGAGTTCAGAAGCCAGTATAGCCATATATTTCAACTATGTAGCCTAATATAGTAATATCTAAGAATAAGATGAAGTGAAAAATTGATGCATCTAAACAAAGTCTTACTGTCAAAGATGTTGACAATGTCACTAGCTAGTAGCTACTTCAAGTCACACTTGTAGTATGTGTTTACATACAGAGAACTGCTTATCAGCATTCAATGTCGGCAGGTTTATGCAAAATACAAACTTTTCTTTGGATTAGTTTCAAGCCTTACGCTTAAGATATCATAAAATCTAGGGTCATCCATCCCTTTTCTCTCAACAAAAGAGAAATAAATGAAACGAAAACTACAGTAAAAGACATGAACAGCCACATATCGAAAGTATCATCATCACTCCACTGAAAGAGAGGTCAGTATTATATTTCTCTTGAAATTGAATATGTAAGCTGTCAAGAACTTTTAGAAAGGTAATACTTTGGAATTTTGGGTAAAAGACGTTCAAGGACCATTTACCAATACAAGGGAAAGAAAAAACTCTATATTCATATATAACTTTCATGCATTATTTGGGTCATGAATTGCATGGATGGAGGGTGAAACAAACAAGCACCATCGGTTTCAGAAAAAGGCTATGTTCAGTTCACATGATCTGATCTTTTCTAATCTGGTCTGATTTGCTTGATCTGATATGATTTTTTTTTTTATAAAGTTGATATCATCTTAAATAAATTGAACTGAACATAGCCGAAGTACAGCTAGTCAGCCATGGAGGACAGAGTAATACAAGTTCCGACAAAGATGTCTTATTGAGAATGAATGAACAATGAGGCTCCATGAGCAAGAGGGAAAGAATATGAAAATGACTGCCAACATCAAGCAGCAGAGAGCATTACATGATTAGCCATTTCTCTATAAACTTGTATGCTTAACTGCACGTAAAACTCACATATCATCATATTGATATTATGAAATAACTTTTTATGTAACACTCTACTAATGTAACATTAAATCTCATCTAAGCATCTAACCACAGAACAAAGTAAGAAAGCATACATGAATTTAATAAAATAAAAAAAAAAACTCAGGAAATGTATGTTCAGAAAAAGAAAAAAGAAAAAGGAAAGGAGTAAAAGGACAAACCGAGTAATTATCAGGAATTGTTTGCCGATTAAGAGATGCCTCGATAGTAGTTGTAAATTTATACAGAATGGCTGCAATAACAGCTGCAGTGATTGCTCCTAAGAAGGCTTGAACAGGGGATGGCGAAGTTTTAGGTTCAATTGAGACCGATCCAATTGCTTTTAAGCTATCCAATGCTTCCTCTTTCAAACTCTTTGCACCGGAGGCTCTCATTCTCTAAGACCACAAAACATTCACAATACATTAACATCTCAAAAAGACAATAATTTTGCTTTAGTGTTGAAAATCACATGCCTCAATTGGTAAAATTATAAACCAAGAACATCGAAAATTTAAAAGATGTACAAGGGCCAAGAGGTCATTTTGCTAGGAGCCTAAGTGACCAAATATGTAATGTAACCCAACCAAAATACCAGCTTTATCAACAGTTAACAGGAATGCAGGATCCCAAAAACCAACTCAAGAAACTACCATCTCAAAATCACAATTCTGAACCTTTATGCTTGCTAGCAACAGCAACTATACCAACCTAAAGCAAAGAACTCTCACAATCCTGTAAATAAAAATGCAATAGATCTAGTTGTCGAAACAGATACTCCCTTGGTCCCACGTTAATAAGCTACAATTCTATTTCTATTGTCTTAGGATAACAGGCCACTCTATATTTACCTATTAAGCAAATTTGCCTCATTTCTCAACAAATCTACAAACTACAAAGGGAACTTCTTGTACTTCAAACCGAGTCCTTAAAATGACCTCATACCAAAGGTGTCCTATTAAAGAGGCAAGGAGGAGAGAAAATACAACTTTATCAAGCTTGTATGGCAAATCAAGTTGCATTTTTGTAATTAACTCAACAAAAGTACTCATTATATGTATAATTAGCACAGTATTTTTGTGATAAAATCACCATATATTCATAAAAATGGGCTCAGTATTCTCAAATATCATGACTTATTCATGATAAACAAACCAAAAGATATTCATTCAACAGCCATAAAGATACACTAAACAACTATGAATGTACATTAAAAAACATTGAATATATGACCAACAACAATAAAAGTACAATAAACCATCAGCATCTGTTTATACTTATGCTACTAGATTTATCAAATGAAAGCTTTACATTGTTTATATATACGTGAGAGTCCGGCACCAGGCGGTAAGCCGTATCATTATCCACACAATAGGCAATATTGAAATTTAATGAATTCCAACATGTAAACCTACTAAAACTAAACAAGTATAAAGGCAGAATATCACAAATTTGAAAGAACCCCACAAAACCAAGAACTGCAATTTAATCAAACAACACATAATCAAACACAATTCTTCACATAAATCATGAAATGGGCGAAAAAACAATATACCAATTCCTTAGCTCGTTTAGCTCTGCGACGAATAGAGCGAAAGAGAAAGACAGTAATAGCCCCAGTAAGAAGAACACTGGTAGAGACTTGAAGAGGGGTAGGGTCGTCATTTGTGGCAAAAATTGACGGAGTATCTGGCGAAAGCTCGATGGGTCCTTCTTCCACGGCGGCGAAGAGCGGCCATGATTGTGATATGGGGCGAAGATTGGAGGAGAGAGAGGGGGTTGAAGTGGGTTTGTGGAGGAAAGTGAGTGGAGGAGAGAGAAAGGGTTTAAGAAGAAGATGATGAGAAGGATTGAGAGAATTTGGTGGAAGAAGATGAATGGTTTGCAACATTTGTGCAACTTTAATGGTGAATTTTTTTTGGTGCTTACTATCACTGACTCACTGAGTTTGGAGGAAAAGCTGTATGATTTTGGGCATTTCTGTTTTTTTCCTGGCTAAATTCCTACATTGTTTGTTATCCGCTAATATTTTGGTTTTGGATAGATATTCTGAAAGATGGCTGTGGCCAGGTGCGTCTTTGACTCTTGAACACAAAAAAAAAGAACTTCTGAAAGCACTCCTGCCTTGAAGAGCCATAGATCATACTATCGAGCTCGTATTGGGAGTAAGACCTCTCGTACGAAACCCCTATCAAATGGGCCCTCTAGAACTTGTAGAACTACATAGACAGTTGGATGAATTGTTAGAAGTCGGGTTTATTCAACCTTCCGGAGCTCTTTACAATTCACCAATTCTCATCTAGAAAAAACAAGATGGAAGTTTGAGACTATGCATCGATTATCGAGCACTAAATAAGTTGACCATACGGAACCATTATCCAATCCGCTTGGTGGCACATTTGTTTGATTGATTGGGAGGCATAGTGTACACCAATTAGGCTAGATTTAAATTCTAGCTTTCATCAAATTTGTATCGCTAAAAGAGACAAGCCAAAGACGACTTGAGTCACTAGATTTGGGGCTTTTGAATGGTTGGTTATGTCGTTTGGGTTGATAAACGCACCAGCCACATTTTATTTGCACTTTGATATGATGAATCAAATCTTCCACGACTATCTTGATAAATTCGTTGTAGTGTACTAAGACGAAATTGTGATTTTTAGCAAAACACTTGAAGACCACCTAGAGTACTTGAGGAAGGTGTTTGAGAAGTTGAGACAACACCATTGTTCGTGAAGTAAGAGAAATGCGCGCAAAGAGAAGTAAGCTTCCTTGAACATTTTGTGGGAAGGGTCGTATTAGGATAGATCCAAAGAAAATCTAGGTCATCCGTGATTAGCAAGCCCTAAAGATTGTTTCATATTTAAGATCATTTTTGGGGTTGGTAATTACTACCATTGATTCATACAAGGATAATAAGAAATAACAAGCTCCCTTACTAACTTGTTAAAGAAGGAAAAGAAATGGAGTAGGTTAGATGAACAATAAGGGGCTTTTCTCAACCTCAAGGACAAGAAGGACGTGATGAAGGAGCCAGTCATAATGCTCCCAACATCAACAAACCATTCAAAGTAGAAAGTAGAAACATATGCATCAGATTTTACTTCAAGAAGGCCATCTGGTGACTTATGAGAGTTGAAAGTTGAATGGCGCAGAAAGGAAATATGTTTCTTAAGAGAAAGAACTGCTAGCAATTGTTCACTGCTTGAGCGGATGGATATACTACTTGTTGGGGGTTGAGTTCTTCGTCCATACGCACAACGCAACAGCAAGTTAGTTCCGAAGCCTCAATATGTGTGTTTATGTCATCAACACTAGGCATGTTCACGGATCAGATATCCGAACCGAAATGTGATTTCTGTTCGGATATCCGAATACTTTGATATCAAAAAATGATATTCGAATCCGATTCGAAAATTTCGGATATTCAATATCCAAAATCATTTGTATCGGATGCTATGGATATCCATTATCCAATATTAATTTTAATTAATTATGATTGTTACACACAAAAATCAGATTCTTGACTTTTGTTGACTTTAACTAAGTAATTTGGGTCTTAGGGTTAGTGGAAAATTTTGGGCTAAATTGGTGAGGATATAATGAAATGGGCTGAAATTATCTAATGGCCCAATGCCAAAAGAGTCGGTTTAGAGGCAGAGTGGGTAATTTAATTTTTGAAGATAGTTGGCGCCAAGTAGAGTTGTCAATTCGGATAAACGGGTCAGGTTAGTGTGGGTCAGGTCAACTTGGGTTGGGTCAATTCAGATTAATGTTGTAACCTATGCGGGTCGGGTTCGGGTTGGGTCATGCTTAAGCCGGGTCATGTCGGGTCATACATCGTGTCGGGTTTAGGTCGGGTCAATAATAGGTCGGGTTTAATTCGGGTTTTAACGGGTTAAAACGAGTTAGGGTCATTTTCGGGTTCGAGTCAGGTTTGGTTCAAGTCAATAATTTGCGGGTTATAAATAGGTTGGGTCATTTCCAAGTCGGGTCATGTTCGGGGTTCGGGTCTCAAATATTGGGTTAATTTGGGTCTCGGGTTAATTTGAGCTCGGGTCATATCGAGCTCGGGTACATTTTTCGGGTCGATTTTTTAATAGTTCATGTATTGACGTTCACAAAGCCAATAAATTTCAAGGCATTAACCTAAGTTATTTTTTGCTCTAATTATTATTTTGCTAGTAAAAATGATACGATCCCGATTCTTGGGTATCTCTTCCAAATCGAGCAAGGTCAAAATGATTAGAAAAAAAATTAAGGAAATTAGTCAAGCAAATAATATTCTAAGTTAATATTAGAATTAGACCCAAAAAGACTGCATCTATGGCTATAATTGATTTTAGAATGATAATAGACAAGCTAGCTTATGCGGTTATGCCAATATAATCTGGTTCTAAATGAAAGATTGAGGGAAAATTTTCCTTGCTTATCATTTAGAGGATGACCGTATATATACAATGTACATGCCTTCGTCAATCATCATAGGCTAAACTCTAGCTAACTATATGCAGATAATTATCAAGCTAATTATCTCCTTTGACTATATAACAATATATATGACAATTTACTAGGGAACTATAGCCTATAATTGAGTTCGGGTCATGCTTGAGTCGGGTCACGTCGGGTCATACATCTTATCGGGTTTGCGTTGGATTTAGGTCGGGTCAATAATAGGTCGGATTACATTCGGGTCGGGTGAATGATAGGTCGGGTTTAATTCGGGTTTTAACGGGTTAAAATGAGTTACGGTCATTCTCGGGTATGAGTCGGGTTTGGTTTAGGTCAATATCGAGTCATCTCCAAGTCGGTTCATGTTCGGGTTCGGGTCACCATTTTTTTGGGTTCAAACAGGTCGGTTAATAATCGGGTCCGGGTAAATTTTTCGGGTCAGGTCAGCTTTTGACAGCTCTAGCACCAGGAGATGTAACTGTACAACAGTTATGGGAGTCAACCATAACCGCTCCAATTTGCTTATAAATAGAAGCATAAAGATCGAAGGAAGGACATCAGCAAATCAATCAACAACAAGCATTTCATTTCTTCTAAGCTTTCTTCTTAGCTTTCGTAGATGAAAATCGTTCGTCTTTTCCAATTGTATGATTATGAAGGTAACCTCTCCTTAACTTATACAATTGTAAACCTGACTCTATCCTTTAATTAATGGAATGCATTTGTATCTTTTGTCATTAAGCCAAGTTCAATTCTCTCTCTTTCTTTCTCTCACTAGAAAATTTAATGGTCAGAGTCCATCACCTATTCTAAAAAATGTAAATTTTCAAAATTTCCATGGAAGATCTTGTGCAGCCCATCCAAAATGTTGCATATCAGCCCTAATGGTGAAGTTTAGGGGTTTTCTACATTGGCAATGTAATCCATAGATTAATAGAGTATCCAAACGAATGTCCAAACCATCATTTGGCTATGGACAAACGTGCTAAATGGAGGAAAAATTACAGGCATGGAAAGAGAAATCGCTTGAACAGGAGAATTAACAAGCGATGGGAAGAGAGGCCTGCCATCCTTGAAGATAATGAAGGTACTGTCGGCCCAAGCTTTTTCTTAGTAGGGGCAAATGCCGATCTTCTGAGAAATTTTATCCTTCCCAAACTGGAAGAGACGGAGGATTAATCGAACGTCGCCCTGGTCTGTAAGGGGTGGGCTAGGGAGATTAGAGCAAGTTTCCTTCCTCATTCAACAGGAAGTTAGAGGCAAGGACGATTCCTTTCTTTAGTCGATACTACAAGGTCCAAGTAACCAGAGGAATAGAGGGGGAAATACATACTTTAATGTACAAGTGTACGTACATGTCAGCTATGGTATGAGGAGATCTTTGAACATCACAAGGTCAATTGGCTTCTCTTAAAGCCTAGAGACGATGAGTTTGAGGATTATCTTGATGATCCAAGACTATGGAATGATGTGGCGATGATTCAGAACGATCCTGGATACTAGAGACAACTCAATAAGTATATCGCTGTATATATTTAGCCTTAGTCCTCAAAAGAGCATACACAATTCAAAACTATTAAATTTTGAAATGCTATTCTTTTATAAATTTTTAATTTTATATATATATATATGAAGTAATGTTTAATGCCTTGTGTTTTACTTGCAAAATTAAACATACATAATACTTCTTATTATTATGCAAAAAGGTCATAATTTGGTTGATTTCAAATGCCATCAACCACCCAAATTAAGGGGGCATTTGTTACTAAATCAGATTTTTGACTTTTGTTGACTTTTTTTTTACTTTGACTAGTAATTTGGGCTTAGAGTCAGTGGAAAGTTTCGGGCTAAACTGGTGAGAATATAATGAAATGGACTAAAATTATCCAAAGGCCCAATGTCAAAAGAGCCGGTTTAGAGGCAAAGTGGGTAATTTAATTTTTGAAGAGAGTTGACACCAAGAGATGTAACTGCACAACAGTTATGGGAGTAAGCCATAATTGCTCCAATTTGCCTATAAATAGAAGCATGAAGATCAAAGGAAAGGACATCAGCAAATCAATCAACAACAAGCATTTCATTTCTTTTAAGCTTTCTTCTTAGCTTTCGTAGTTCCCCTTGGCTTAGTAGCCAGAGATAGTTTAGCGATAGTTAGTCTCTCTTAGCATGTATTGAAAATCGTTCGTCTTTTCCAATTGTATGATCATGGAGGTAACCTCTCCTTCAACGTATACAATTGTAGACTTGACTCTATCCTTTAATTAATGGAATGCATTTTTATCTTTTGTCATATGTTTATATACTCGTTTCTTTAAGCAATCTAACTTGTTTTACTTTCTTTGGGAAAGATTCCTTATTGTTCGTTTTGTTGCGTTAGCAAGGTTATCAATCTTTGAAACCGGTAACTTGAGGGGCAGCCTCCTAATACTCTAGAACAAGATAGGGTATTTGACGTGTTGGCAAAGGACAATATTTGCCTCAACAATGATAATTTTCTAAATTTCAATAATTTTATTGCTTTTTTATCGCTAAGTTATACAACATATTTAGTCAAAATAAAAGAAAATATATTACAAATATTATAATAAGTTAATAACACATGGTCGGTTTCATATGGACATATTAAAAATTTTATACTTCATATATTTCACATTTCAGCCTTTAT